CACGCTGGCCAGGCCCACGCTTCGCCCCCGCGGCCGGCGGTACCATCCCTGTGGCGCTCGGAAGCAGCCTCCTCTTTGTCGCATTCCCTGACCAGCTGTGCCCGACATGGAGCCGGGCCCTGCGGATGCAGCGATGAACAGGGCAGACGTGGCCCGGGGAGCGGCGTCGCAGGCGCCTGGTCGAGCGCAAAGTGCAGATAGGCGTTTCCCCAGCTTTCCCCTGGGTCAGACGCCGCCGGGATTTCAAACGTGGCGTGTGACTTGGACCCGCAGAAATCCAGATGAGCGTTCGGAACAGTAACGGAAGTGGGAAATGGCCATGCCTTAAATATGTGTGGGCTCCCAGAGCTCACAGGTTATTTTCGTCGTTTATAAAGAAATTGAGACCTAGAGAGAAGTAGCTTGCCCAGGGTACCCAGTTGCAGAATTGGAATTGGAAGCAGAGCACAGATGCCCTCCTTACCACTAGAGTGCTGATTTTCAAAGTTTCACCCTATATAAACTGAATAAAAGTTTCCCCCCTATTTCAGTATTAGTTAAATGAACCACATTCATTCGTTTACCAAACGTGTTTCTGTGTGCCATGTACACACATGTGCAAAGATGACTGGAAACCAGCCCTGCCCTCTGAGTCCACCCAGAAAGTGGGGGAGACAGCCATGTAAACCCCAAAATAGGAGAACTGCTTTAGTAGAAGTTTGAATGAAAAAGGTACTGTGTCCTCACTGAGGCAATAACCACACTTAAGCCTGGGCAGATCAAGATCAGGAAGGTTGTCTAGGGAAGGTAGATTAAGGAGAAAAAGATCTTTGTGTGTGTGTGTGTGTGTGTGTGTGTGTGTGTGTGTGTGTGTTTTGTTTGCCCACGGCTGCTCTAGCCACTGAGCCAAACCAGCCAGGGCGTGTTTTGTTTTGTTTTTCAATCCTCACCAGAGGATATTCTTTCATTGACTTTAGAGAAAGAAACATCGATGTGAGAGAGAAACATCAATCAGTTGCCTCCCATACCAGCCGTATGCACCGACCACCTCGGGAATTTGAATCCCACAACCCAGTCATGTGCCTGACTAGGAATCATACCCACGACCCCTCAGTCTACAGGACAGTGTCCAACCAACTGAGCCACACTGGCCAGGACAGAAAAGGTCTGACATCGTCTGACTCCATCAGGTTCTTTTCCTTTGATGGCCATCCAGCAGTTTGGAGGGTGTGTCGGGTTGTATATAAACTAGTTAAAGTAGTGTTATAGTGAGAGGTCAGAGAAGGAGGCTGCCAGCCCACTTCCTGTATGAGGCAGTCAGGAAAGCCTTCAAGAGAAAATGTCATTTGGGTCTTGACAAATGAGTAGGAGTTTTTCAATAGTTGAAAGGAAGCCCAGCCGGTGTGGCCCCGTAGTTTAGCAGCAACCCCTGAGTCAGGAGCTCACCCTAAGTCTCGGTCAGGGCACATGCCCAGATTGTGGGCTTGATCCCCAGTAGGGGGCATGCAGGAGGCAGCCAGTCAATTCTCTCTCGATGTTTTTCTCTATCCCTTTTCCTTCCTCTCTAAAATCAATAAAAACATTTTTTTTAAAAGCAGAAAAGAAGAAAAATCCAAACAGGGAAAGAGCATTTTAGCTGTGTCTCTAGAACTTTAGTCCCACCTTTATTGTGCATTTCTAGCTCAATAGAAAAGAGTAGAAGAGTGTTGAGCATACACTTCCAACATAGGTTTATTTGTAAGTTAAAGATATGTGCTATTTTACAAATTTAATGCACATTATAAAACATGCACTAAATATGAGTTAAATAACAACTTAGTGTTATGTACCCTTTGAATCATCTTGCATTTCCCACATTTGAAGATCATTGTTATCTTTCTAGACTGGGTACCTTGGGAAGAGTGGTAGAGAGTGTGGCTAGAACAGAGGTCTAAGACTGTTGTGAAGGGCCGAGAGTGCAAGGTATAGATATTTAGGTTTTATCTTCTAGGGAGCCACTGAAAGTTTAAGAAGGTAAGTCACTTGGAAAGATGCTTTAATTGCCCCGGTGTGTGCTCACTCTCTTTTTTTTCTGGAGCTTTGCTTTTTATTTATTTGTTTGTTTGTTTGTTTATTTTTAAATATATTTTATTGATTTTTTTACAGAGAGGAAGGGAGAGAGATAGAGAGTTAGAAACATCGATGAGAGAGAAACATTGATCAGCTGCCTCCTGCACATTCCCTACTGGAGATGTGCCCGCAACCAAGGTACATGCCCTTGACCGGAATCAAACCCGGGACCTTTCAGTCTGCAGGCCGACGCTCTATCCACTGAGCCAAACCGGTTACGGCATGGAACTTTGCTTTTTAAATGTGGAGGGTCTGTTATCAGCCTGGGGCTGAACACTCCGAGGACTTTGATTTCTCTCTTATGTTTCTGTAGGTGACACTCCCCTCACCCTACATCCCAACTTTGAAAAACAGCTCCTGGGACCTGAATTATAGACCATCATTTTAATCAGACAAACTGCTGCTGGAACAAGCTTCTCCTTGGGGTCACAATGGCCACCCCAGGCAGGGAAACTTTAGGTCTCATCCCCGGGAGTGCTGTGCTCCAGAAGCAGGAGCCAGGAAGCCAGACCTGGGGGCAAGGCTGCAGCCTCCAAAAGAACCACCTTCCTGTTTGTGAAATTTTCCGGCTACACTTCAGGCAGTTGTATTACCATGAGATGTCTGGGCCCCAGGAGGCACTGAGCCGGCTTCGGGAGCTCTGCCACAGGTGGCTGATGCCAGAGGTGCACACCAAGGAGCAGATCCTGGAGCTGCTGGTGCTGGAGCAGTTCCTGAGCATCCTGCCCAGCCAGCTCCGGACCTGGGTGCAGCTGCACCACCCTGAGAGTGGCGAGGAAGCCGTGGCCGTGGTGGAGGATTTCCAGAGACACCTCAGTGGATCAGGAAAGGTGAGTAGTTGGCATCTAGAACCATTCTCTAATGCTTAGGTTAGCTTGGGAATAGGCATTCTCCATTCCTTAGGCTCTAGTCTGGTTTGCTCTTAGGATTCCTGAGCCAGTCATGCACTTCTCTTTATGCTCCAAGCCATAAGCAGAAATGCAGGTTGCAGCCAAGCTGTGAATCACATTGTCAAATAGTGTTTTATGAGCTCAGCTCCAGCCTGGAGATCCACACAGCACTCCGGGCAGGCAGAGGATCTGCACATTGGTTAGAATGTGGGAACATGGTGAGCAGAGGTAAACCTCAGGTGTGCTGATAACATGGGTCCTCATTTGAGAAGTTCTCATTACTCCCTTCCTCAGACTTCTCAGAGTCAATTCTCTCTCTTCCTGCCTTTTAGGTTCCTTATGAGAGGTGACATTTGGGGCTTCATAAACATTTTTTCCTTTTCTAGCTTTCCAAACCCAATGAGGGTCTTTTTGCCTCTTTACCTCTAATTTCAATTTTTCCTATTTTCCTCGGATCTCTCAAATTTAAAGGCAAGGTAATTCAGATGCAGTGGTTCTCAACCTTCCTAATGCCGAAACCCCCAATTTCATTGTTACAAATTGAACATAATTAAAGCATAGTGATTAATCACAAAAACAATATATAATTATATATGTGTTTTCTGATGGTCTTAGATGACCCCTATGAAAGGGTCTTGACCCACAGGTTGAAAACCGCTGGATTAGAGGAAAAGCTGGAGAGTCAAAAGTGTGATAACAGGGAGAAATCTGGCTTCTAGGACCACGGAGCTAACTCACTCAGTGACCGTTTATATCAGCCAGGGTTCAGCCAAAGAAGAAAAACCAGTAGAAAATTATTTTACGTATTTATATACATATTTATATTATTGATAGAAAGTGGTTTGCGTGATTATGGGAGTTAGCAAGGCAAGTCTGAAATCTGTAGGGCGGGCCAACTGGAAGGGCTAGCTGAAACTCTCAGGCACAGGCTGAAGCTGCTATCCCCAGGCACAATTTCTTCAGTGGGACCATCAGTTCTGAATTTTAGGCCTCTGACTGATTAAGTCAGGCCCATCCAAATTATCTAGGATACTAAAGTAAACCGATTATGGACTTTATTTATTTATTTATTTTTAATATTTTATTGATTTTTTACAGAGAGGAAGGGAGAGAGAGAGAGAGAGAGTTAGAAACATCAATGAGAGAGAAACATCGATCAGCTGCCTCCTGCACACTCCCTACTGGGGATGTGCCCGCAACCAAGGTACATGCCCTTGACCGGAATCGAACCTGGGACCTTTCAGTCCGCAGGCTGATGCTCTATCCACTAAGCCAAACCGGTTTCGACCCGATTATGGACTTTAATCACATGTACAAAATACCTTCACAGCAACACCTAGATTAATGCTAAATAGACGCATCAAAAGACCACACTATGAATAGGTCAGTTCCTTCAGATGAGTCTCAGATTGCTCCCTTGCAACTGAACTGGGTGAATTAGGGTCTCCTCTGTGTTTACTCCTTTGCAGTTTACCAGGAAAAAATAATAAATAAAATTTCCCAAATACCATAACATACTTTTATTCAGTGCTTTTAAAAAAATCATCACATACCTATGCCTAGGGAATCACTTCCAGTTGATTGGATCCTAGGACTAAATCTTTTTCAAAGAGTATTAGCCAATGCCCATTTGGCATTATTAAATCCATTGTCAACCAGTATTTCCTTGTGTAAACAAACACACAGAAATAAATCAACCACCACTGAGGTCTAGAGAGCAAGTAGGCCCAACCATGGGCAAAGACAAATGGCTAAAGAACTGTTTAGAGTGCCATTTAGTGAGGAGGGTGGAAGAAAAATTTTCCTAGTTCCTCACTTCTTTCGCTTTAAGCAGAAGAAAATGCTCCCTCTATTAAAACTCAATCTTTGTAGCCTAAAGTGCATCCCGTGCAGACCTGGGCCCTTTTCATCTCCAGCTGACCTTCCTTGGCTGCACCCACCAGTCTCATTTCTGAGTTCATTGGTCTTTACACACTAAATCTGATTCTTGGCTAAATAGAAAAACAAAAAACTCCATCTTTTTTATCCAGGGAGCCTCAGAAAAAGGAGACTGAGGTCCAACCACTATGGCTCAGTGGAATTCACGGCTGGATTCCGGGTCAGGGCACATGCTTGGGCTGCAGGCTTGATCCCCAGTGTGCGGCTTGTAGGAGGCAGCCGTTTAATGATTCTCTCATCATTGATGTTTCTATCTCTCTCCCTCTCCCTTCCTCTCTGAAATCAATACAAATAATTTTTTTTAAAAAAGTGACTGAGTCACAAACCAAAGAGAGTGACTAACAGTTGATAGGGCATTTGAACCTAGGAGTGGGGTCTTTGGATTCCATTTCTTACTCTGCCACTATTATCAGCTTTCTGATGTGAAGACAAGAGAGCAGTGCCCTGGCTGGTGTGCTCAGTGGTTGGAGTGTCAGCCCACGCACCGACGGGTCTTGGATTTGATTCCCAGGCAAGGGCATGTACCTAGGTTGTAGGTTCAATCCCTGACCCCGTAGGGGTGCATGCAGGAAGCAGCTAGTCAGTGTGTGTCTCTCTCCCTCTCCCTCCCTTTAACTGTCTCTAAAAATCCTCAGATGAGGATTAACCAAAAAAAGACACGAGAGCAGGGCTGTCTCTCCTAGCACAGGCTCATAATATGTATTTATGGCTAAATGAATAAACAAGCTTTCTCATGGCAGTTTGGCATGGGGCAGTTAAGGAATGTCAGGGCAGATCAGAGTAAGTCTACTTAGCAGGAGGGAGCAGGTGCGTGTGTGCACAGTGGGGCTGGAAAGGGTTGAAAAGGTGTCCTTCGAGGGTTCAGAATCGTGCAACTTGAAAAATGCTTTTATATCCTTTTATTTTAGCTCCTAGCAGGCTTATAAAATATGAAAATAGTAATCATTATCTCCATTTGACAAATGATATGAGCACAGAGAGGTTAATTGACTCATCTAAGATGAAAGAACTAGTAGATGTTCCCTTTGTCCCTGAGACTTAGACAAAGTGTGATTATTGTTGATTACCACCAAGTGTGGGAACTAGACTTTTCCAGCTCCCTAGGTTCTGAGTCCCTAGCTTTCCCCTAGTGTCTTGCTGTGGAATGCCATCTTAGAATGAAAATTGGAATGGGGATTGCATGCCTGTGAGGAAAGGAAATCTATGAGTCCTAGATAATGAATAGGAAGTGTGCCAGGATTTAATTGCTAGTGAATTACAAGGTTTTGTTGTCACAGTGCAATTAAGGTCCATCTTCTGGCAGTTCCCAGAGCTGCTTTATTTAAGAACTGTAACTCCCGCCCAGCTATTGTGGCTCAGTGGTTGAGCTTTGAACCATGCACCAAGAGATCACCAGTTTGATTCCCGGTAAGGGCATGTGCTGGGTTGCAGGCTCGATCCCCAGTAGGGGGCATGCAGGAGGCAGCCAGTTGTTGTTGATTCTCTCCCATCGATGTTTCTCTCTCTTACTCACTCTCTAAAATCAATAAAAACATATATGTTCTTTTAAAGAGAACTGTAACTCCCATTTATAAGATCTGCCCAGTGCAGACCCTGGTCACCACAGACCCCAGGGAACCTCCTGGTCCCACCACTACACTGGAGAGATATATAATAAAGAAGCAAGTTCCCTCCCATCAGCAGATGTAACCCAATTGGGCAAGTCCAGTATGGTTTATCGAAGGAGCAGTTATTTTCTCCTTCTGATGTACTATGTATATGCAGAGTGAATGAGCTTATAAGTGTGATTTATTTAGATGCTGGTAAAAGTAGTAATCATGCGATTGTGAGGAGCTGATTTGATGAAAACAGCAACGGTTAGAAAGAAAAGGTCTATGCTTTGAGATATTCTCAAAGTCTCTAAAAATTGATGTTATCTGATCCTGTTTGACTTTAATATAAATTATTGAGGAGATGTAGACCCTATTGAAAACAGTTTGCAGATAACCCTAAAAACCCGTAGCAAAATATCAAGAGGAAATCAGCCAGCAAATATTATTAATTGAGCACCAATGTTGGGCCCAGCATTGTTCTAGGAACTAGTGGTCAAGACAAAAAGCTTATATTTCATTGGGGGAGACATATACAATAAATGTGTAAATAAGGTAATAGAGAGATTAATATATGCAATAGAAAATATAATCAGGTAATTGGAGAGTGACTGTCCTTGCTTTGTCAGTGTGGTCAGGGATGGTTTCTCTGAAGAGGAGACACTTTTGCTGAGAGAAATTGGAAAAGCTCTTTTGAGGTTTGTCAGCCACTGTTTTGGGATATTGCCTCAGCTTTCAGCCTCAGTCGCATTATTTGTGCATATACAGATATACACAGCTATCATTCTTTAATTTTCTGGTACTTCGTTTGGGCTCTTCTATAGGCTTAGGTCCTCGGGAGTGTACTGAATTGCTCCCCTGCCTCCTTTTCCTAGATGATTCTGAACGCAATTTGTGTCTGAGGAACTGACACAGAGGGAAAGTGGTTATATAATCTGGTCTTCGAGCTTCTAGCAGGAAGGTCAACAGAAGGATGAGGATTACAAGCTGCAGATCCTGCTTAGACGGTTGCTTCCCCTAGCAGGCTGTACTGGTGGGTCTGGAAAGAGACTCTGGCTTTCCTTTCCCTGGCTTGCTTTCTTGGTATGCTTCTTAGAGGTTTTGGATTCTGTACCTTCAAGGATGGTCTCTTGAACCTGATTGTATTTCCTTGTCTCTAGGTTTCAGCTCCAGCACAGAAACAGGAAATGCATTTGGAGGAGATGACAGCCTTGAGTGCAACAGAGGAATCTCTTTCTACTTCACTCAGTAACGGTTCAGCCCCTGGAGCCCACCTGGAGCCTCCTCATGACCCAGGGGCATACTGCCTCCCCAATGGGCACTCCGGTACTTGCCTCTCCAGCTCTAGTGTCTAGTCACACCTCTCTTCTGGAATCACTTTTCCTTCATCTCCACGTCTCCACCTTATTGGAATCCCTCATTGCCCTGTCCTCTGTCTTCCTTCCCTAGTGACTTTCTGTTCCCTTTTGCTTATTCTTTAATCATTAATGTATTTAGCAAGTTTTTGTCATGGCAAAGGCACTGTTGGCAGCAGAGATATATAGTATAGTGTCACTGCTTTCAAAGAGCCATTTAGTTACCTACTAGGCAGAGAGTCAGTCATAGTGTAAGAGAAAACCTCATAAGAGACATGAGTGATATCTGTCCTCAGGCATCTGATGCCATCACAAATGAGCAATGTGGACATTGTTAATTGTAAGCAAGATCATGTGGATATTGTTAATGGTGAGCTGGGGTGGGTAGGAGATGGATGCTTCATGGAGGAGGTAGCAGTGGTATTGGATAGTGAAAAATCAAGGAGAAATTTTAAGGGTGGAAATGGGTGGTGGACACCTAGAAGAGAATATCAACAAAGACTCTTAAGTAGTTAATCCTTGGACCCTGTTGAGGTAGGGTCAAGGAGGACTGCATTTGAGAGCCTAGGGTCTGTTTGTACAAGGCCTTAGAGTTAAGGGTAAGAAGTTCAGGACAATTACTCTGGCACATGTAAGCACTACTGATCCAAAGGGTGGACCAGTGGTGGGAAGCTTTAGTAGGAGGCCAGTGTAGGAAATTAGATGTGAGGTGAATGGAGTGGAAAGTGATAGATGCGACAGGCATTGTGAAGGAAAAATCCATGGGGTAAGGGAGAAGAGGGGCAATTAAAGGGTTTTGGACAGTGTCTGGAATCATTGACAGAACTTAAGTTAGGAAAGGAAGATGGTAAGAACACGCATTTGAGATACTGAACTTAAGAATTGTGGGGCAGCAAATGAAATGTCCAAGCAACTGGAAGCTTGTGAAAGGGGTCTAGGAAAGAACCGAGAACTTAAGAGCATAATTAGAACAGTGAGAGTTGGTGAGATCTCTGACAGAGAGAAAAGAAAAGCACTACGGTCTGAGCCTCTGGAGTGTCCAAATGAGAGGGCAGAGAAGGAAGAGAATGGGGGGGCCAGAGATCTGAGGGGGAAATCGGTGAGGCTGGTGCTAGGGGAGTCATGTGGAGAGGAAGTTGTCAGAAGTATAGCTTCCTTAGGAGAGGTTGAAGAGAGTGAGGGCTGGGAGACCAGTTTTCAATTTGACCAGGGTCCTGCTACTGCACTCTCCTTGGAAAATTCACAGCACAGTTAGGATAACGCCTGTATGGACAAGGGATGAGAAACTGGAGTTGCCTGGGTCCTCTTGAATCCACTCAGTGGGATACTGACCTTATTAAAGCCAAGGGCAGGGCTTGTCCACTCATAGATTTCTTTCCTCCTTCAGCTCATTGTGCTTCCCCAGTGTCTGCCCTTCCCCAAGTGAGGAACATAGGAGACCAAGCAGCAGAAACTGTGCTTCAGATGGTCAGGCCCCAGGTGAGCTTGGTTCTGTCTATCTTTTGTGAGTTCCTGAGTCTGAGGCCCAGAATACCGGTAGCTAGAGTGTGGTTCCCCACGCCCCACAAGCAGGCAATTTGATTTTTAAGGAGGGGACAATTTGAGAATGAGTTATTAACTGAATTTTTTGCATTTCTTACGGTTCCAGGGGCTTCATATACAGTATATAAATATGTGTTGTGACATATTTACGCATTGCAGTTCTCTTGTATATGTTTTAAAACTTTATTTGCTTTTTTTTTTTTTTAATCCTCACCTGAGGATATTTTTCCATTGATTTTAGAGAGATTGGAAGAGAGAGGGACAGACAGAGAAATATCAATGTGAGAGAAACACATTGATGGTTGCCACCTGCATGTGCCCCAACTAGGGCCCAGGCTAGGGAGGCACCTGCAACCAAGGCATGTGCCTTTGACCAGAATTGAACCCGGGATCCTTCTGTCCGCTCTATCCACTGAGCCATACTGGCTAGGGCTGCTATTTTTTCATATCACTTCATATTATTATTTTTTTTTTTTAACAATTTCTTAGTGATTTCTTCATCAGTACTTCAACTGTCCGTTCGTTCTTTTGATTTTCTCTTTCATGGATGCCATGTTCTTTGGAAGCTTGTTTAGACCAAGTTAATGGCCTTTTATTTTAGGCTTCCTCCATATGAAAAAGAGTTCACTTTTTGAATAATAAGAATTATATGTCACAGGGTGGGCATCAGGATTTTAGAGATGCTTACGTGGAGCATGGCAAAAAAAAAAAGTTGGGAACCACTGAGCTAGAGCTTATCTCAGGGGCACTGGATCATTCTGAGATTGCTCCTCTGGCTTCCAACCTTCTTGCTTCCCTTGGAGCACCAGCTTGGTGCCACCTATTGAGTTCATGGACTCTCTCTGGACCTGTACTTGTCTTTTTAGATGTGTCCTAGCTTCTCCCTGCTTCACCTCTTTGCCCACCAGGGCCCTTACCCTGTGCTCTTGGTATCTCTGATGACTCCGCCCTTCAGGGTGGGACTGTCTCTGAGCAATAGAAGCTTGTCATTGCAGGGGTCTGCAGTGTACAAGTTCCTGTCTGTGGACTACACTGAACAGAAGTGGGAAGATCCATCACTGAGTCAGAGAGCCCCGTACCAGAACATCATGCTGGAAACCAACTGTAGCATGGCCTCACTGGGTAATGATTCTGTGCCCTGGTAACTTAGCATCTGCATCCTTCACATTTTTTTTGCTAAATTTTTTCTTTTTAGACTATTATGAAAAATTACAGCATAGACAAAACAGAACAATATAATGAACCTCTCTGTGCCCATCACCCAGCGTTAACAGTTGTCAACATTCTCTTTACTTCATAATGGATTGAGCTAGGGTGATTTAGTTAGAGTTTGTATTTATAACGATTAGAGAGCCACTCAAGTTATTGTAAGTGATGAGTTACGTTATTTGAAACCTGTACAAACTGACCAGCTAGACCAGACTTTGGAAAGCAGGGCCTCATTGAGACTGAGGAGCCTGGGAGCCTCAGCAACAAAAGGAAATATATATATATTTTTAAAATACATATTTTATTGATTTTTTTACAGAGAGGAAGGGAGAGGGATACAGAGTTAGAAACATCGATGAGAGAGAAACATTGATTAACTATCTCCTGCACACCTCCTACTGGGGATGTGCCCACAACCCAGGTACATGCCCTTGACCGGAATTGAACCTGGGACCCTTCAGTCCGCAGGCCGAAGCTCTATCCACTGAGCCATACCAGTTAGGGCAAGAAAATGAATTTTTACACTACGTTGTTGAATTAGGATAACACAACTGTCTCCCTACATATCCTCCCACTGATATCCATTGTTTTCACTCTGAATCTTTTCTCCCCTCATGGCTCCTCCTCAATTAGACTTTGTTCCCTCATGCTTTCTGGTTGCTGTGGCTCCTAAAGGCTTGGCTTCTCCCCACGCATCATTTCAGCTTTGGTCTCTGGCCTTTCAATTTTTCTCCTCACTTGACTGTGCTGGTTCAACATCTCTCTGTCCTGATAGATCTTCATCCATCTTCCTCCACTGACCTTTCCCCTCTTTGTCTTTTGTCCACGAAGAAAAATTTGAGCTATTTCTGATTTTTTTCTCTTGTTCTCAGTTTGTTACCTCATTCCTTATGTGAAGGCTTTTTCCGGTAAATAGACTCCTGATGATTCTTTTTCCTCAATGGGATAAGAAATGCTTTTTTCTTCTTTCTTTTGGCATCAGTTGAGACTCGGATGGAAAATTCAGAGTTGCCTCCAAAGCAGGAAATTTCTGAAGAAACAGAGTCATCTGATGGGACATCAGGAGGCCTGCATGGGGTGGTACCTGAGGGACCAGAAGCTGGAAATGCCTGTGAAGATGCTTTAATGAAGCTAGAAGCACAACCCTCAGAGGAGGAAGGGAGCAGACTGGAAAGTGATTTCTTGGAAAGAACATGTGAGGATAAAAACAAATCTACAGAAGATGGATGTGATGAGTATAAGGATCTTGGGGAACATAAGAATCTGTCCTGTAGTCCTACAGAATATCAAGTTTTGAAGGCACAGAAATTATATCAATGTGATGAATGTGACAGAGCTTTCAATACGAGTACACACCTCATTAACCATCAGAGAATCCACACTGGAGAGAAACCCTTTGTATGTAATGAGTGTGGCAAGGCCTTCAGGCAAACCTCTCAGCTCACGGCTCATCTCAGAACCCACACAGGGGAAAAGCCCTATGAATGCAGCAAGTGTGAAAAAACCTATAGGCACATGTCCAATCTCATTCAACACCAGAGATTCCACAATGGAGAGAAACCGTATAAATGTAATGAATGTGGAAAAGCTTACAGTGCGAGTTACACACTCTATGACCACCTAAGAACCCATACTGGGGAGAAGCCTTATGAATGCATTAAGTGTGGAGCAGCCTTTTCTCAGAATGCATGTCTTCTCCGACATCAGTTACTTCACACTGGTAAGAAACCCTACAAGTGCAACGACTGTGGGAAAGGTTTATCTTCTAAAAGAGATCTTATTGACCATCAGAGAATTCACACTGGAGAGA